CCCCCCCACCTATTTGAGCCTAGATCTAGATTCTAGATTCTACATCTAATCTAGATCTATATCTAGATCTATACATTTGATGCGCGGCGAGCTAAAGTATCTAACCTCTAACAACTACAAAACTTCAAATTATTAGATATTTTGCAGAGATTCATAATAAAATCATTTTTTTATCATTAACATGGAATGTGAGTCAAACTGAATCTTCTGAAGATCGTTGTTTGCCCAAATTTTCAAAAAAATAAATTTTTAAGATGAAAACGGAAAGTTTTTCATTTCTTTCAGACTTTAAAACTATGATGACACAAATGCAAACTCAACGGCATTCAGAATGTCTTGTTTCTCTGATCCTCACCATTTATGCTCTTCATGCTTATGTTTGAAAATTAAAGCAATAAGAAAACTGTTAAAATAATTTTGTATACAAATTCTAAAAAAACAGGTCATCATAGTTATGTCTGAAAGAATTTTGACTTGACGTTAAAATGTAATGCCAGTTACACAGCTTAGTATGCCGTCTGTAGGTCTGTAAATACATGTTTTTGTCCTGAGGAGATATACACACGAATAGAAAAATTCAAGTAAAAACAAAATATTAAAAACTTTATCATCAACCCTGTGTGCTACATTTTAGGTACCCACCTATTCGCAAAAGCTCATTAAAAAACTGTATACCAACTGCTTGCATCTCTATGAATTTGATTTAAATTGTGTCGTAATGATTGTTGTTAATTTAATTGTTCCCAGGGCTCAAGCATACAATGCGGAGACTACGTCTGCCATGGTAAGTTTTCATTATAAACTAAACTCACCAATACCTCGTTCCTTCTTGAACAACTTTCAGCATCATGTCTGCATATATAACTGGCCTTGCTTTTGTCCTCCAAGAATATGAATCCTCTCTGGACTATGAATGCCTGTGGTAATATTTAGTAATTAATACATAAAAAGTGGCTGCCAAGTGCGACAATTTGAGTAGATGCTGCTGTCATTTTACTTTTCTTTTTTTTGTGAATCAAATAAACACAGGATGTTATTAGAGTATTTTTGTATTTTATAATATCTGGATCTTTGAGGGCACTCGGCCACCTTTTCTTTTTTAACTACTCCTCAATCTGAAAAGTTCTTGTGTAAGCGCCGTAAAATTATTTTCTGCTGTAATATAATGTAAAAAGATTATATATTTGATTTTTCTGCTGAAGTAAATTTGTTCTCCCATTCACCTAAACATCTTCCAGTCATCTATTTTGAGTTGTAACTGTGGAACCTACCACCTTCTGTATTCTTTTTTTCTCAGGTCATTCACCATATTGCTGTACCTTGGATGACGGGGAATTGGGCTGTTGTTGGGATACTTTTGTCTATCAACTTTGGTGTAAGTGTTGAATGTGATGTGTTAAAGTCAGACCTGCCACTCATCCCGATTTAATCGGGATATCCCCATTTTTTGCCCCAAATCTCAAGCATCCCGATTTTCCCGATTTTGATCGCCAGTATCCTAATTTTTTTTCTTCTTTTGTTGCTTCCGATTCTTAGAAAAAGATATTTAAGTTCTGTAATCTATTTTGCTTGGAAGCGCTGATTGGACTTCTATCGACAGGAACTTGGAAGGCTATTTTCTAAAACATCAATGCTTGATACTACATCTATTTTAGTTGAAGTAACTTGCGTGAGTCATCTGTTAGTTGACGAAGTATTGATTTTGAATTCCGACTTGGATACACGCTCAAGATCTACTTTCGCTTTTGTTACCCAGAATTCTCCGATGGTGGCCCGATTACTGTAACAATAATATTATGACATAGGCCTAAGAATAATCTATTCGTTGTTCTACCATTGCTTTAAAAGAAAGCTTTGTCCGAGTTCTCGTTAGTTGGGCCCATCATCAAGACCTGTCTGTGAAACTTGAAAACGCTCATTCGCATTACGTGACATGACCTCGTACGCGTGAGTAGTGCGTTTGTCAACTGTTGGGGATTGTCGGCTGTCAGAGTCAACAAAGTTCATTCACACCAGTCTCAACTGGCGTGTCCACACTTCTCTCCTGCATAAAAAAGTGAACAAAAGACTATTTTTTTCTAAGGAAGCTAAAGTATTTTAAAGTTGATAAAACATTGATGTCCATGTTCTACCATTCAACCATAGAAAGTATGATCAATTTTTGTATAACAGCATGGGTCGGGAACACAAGACAACAAGATAAAGAAAAATTAAATCGACTAATACGGAAAGCATGTAAAATTTCAACATCTTCATTCCCCTACTTGGATGAATTGCACATAACAGCTTGCACTAAGAAAATTAATTCCATCTTTTTAGACAACAAACATCCCTTGTTCCCTCAAATAAAAACATCAGTCAGAAGTAAAAGACCCATGCTTCTGATCTGTAACAAAGAAAGATACAGAAGGTCATTTTTACCATCATCTATCAAAATGCTTCCATCTTAACCATCTTGTATAAATATACTTACGACCTTAGAGCATGCATCAAAATAACATTGAGTGTGTATCTAGCTTACGATTATTATTGTTTATATTGCTGCTTATTTATATTATGCATGTGATTGTAAACCTACTTGTGTGTGCACGTGTGTGTGTGTGTGTGTGCATGTGTGTGTGTGCATGTGTGTGTGTGCGTGTGTGTGTGTGTGTACTCGTGGTGGAACACCAAACCAATGTGCCAGGATCTGGACAATAAAGATGTATCTTATCTTATCTTATTGGTCGAGGTGTTTCTCAGGACTTAACCAGTATGTACCCCGGGGGGGGGGGGGGGGGGGGGGGATTTTTGTTGTTGTACACTTGGACTTAAAGTGCGTGCCCTGATACATCATGTACTAATTGAGGGGAAAGGAAGAAAAGAAAAAAATGAACAACCTTGGGCGTTTTTTTGGGGGGGAGGGGGTGCCTTGGGTGTATATGCGATTAAAGTCAAAGGATTTTACTGTACTATGTGTATGGAAACGCGGGCTTTTGCAAGGATGATTAGAGTTATGTGTAAGCTATTTTCAAGACTATGAGGTTTCAGCATCACTGCAACGTGCGCTCCCCCAGTCTATCCAACTCCGACTCGAGTACATGAGTACATATAGATCTATGCTGTATTTCAGTTTTTCCTTTATTTAGAGGCCCAAAAATGTGAACTTGTTCCAGCAAAAGTTTTGTCTTGCATACTTGCCTCTTTGTGAAGAAAGAATGACAAAAAAATGTATGGTACAGAAAGTTGGGACAAATTTGCCACAGAAAAAAATTTTTGAAAAAAAAGGAAGTGATGTGATAAAGCAGAAATCTAATAAACTTACACAAAATAGTTGTGGCGGTGTGTGTCTGTGTAGGAGAATGAAGCATGAATGTGTACAGTGAAGTATCATAAAAATGTAAGCAATAATTAATTTTGAAAACAGAAAAAAATGTAGATCTAGATCATGTAGATTTAAATCTAGATCTAGATCTTCCTCGGTGACAGGCTGAGAAGTGGTTTCATTGTCAATGATGCTAGTGCTAGGACTAGATCTGTCAATAGATATCCCAGGTCTCGATATATATATATCTTCTCCACTTTGAGGGCTGATTTGAACTAGAGTTTAGTACTGGGGCTAGATCTATCGTCATCCCCATCCGGACCAGGCTGCGTATTCGCTGACGAGTCAGATTCACGATCGAGAGACGATGTTGGTCTTAAAGACCTAGATCTGGGCCTAATGTCATTTTCTCAGACATGTTCATCACTGCTAGGCGAATTCACATTTTGATTTATGAAGCTATCTGTCTGATACTTCACTGTCACTTAAATCTTCACCAAAATTATCGAGAGTTTCAATAAACTTCGGCACAACTCGCAGTGCCATGCTTCGCTCACGAGAAACTGCGCGGAAGTTGCTTATTTTCAGTTGTTCAGTCTGTTGGACAAATGACCCATTTATTCGCTCTTAAAGTGGTGAATGTACACAAACCACAAAGATCTAGCTTGTTGATATCCTGTTTAAACCTCTGGGGCTATTTGCAAGCATTTTTGTACTGCTGGGTTTACTTTATAGTCAATTATTGTTGAACCCGCGTACGCCTCGGTCGCAGTCTGCGATACGAATTTTACTGGACTGCATATGCTGCGGGAACGGTGCTCGATGAGTTAAAAATAACCGAAACTTTCTTCCACAACTAAAAATAATATCGCCAAGGGGGACAATGAGTACCCGAAATACCACTTCCGAATGGACTGTGTACATAATCACCATCTCTCCTCTCACAGGGTTCTGGCTGATCTGGGTGGTGGTATTTTTCATGATCCTCGGCTGCTCTCTGGCCTGCTGGCGCCGCAGGAGGCAGCACGTGCGCTACGTGGTCATGGCAAACTCAGAGTACCCATCGTACGGCACTGTGGTCCATGGCGCTAGTACTCACACGGCGTACCAGACGGGACCCATGCCGCCACCCCCTACTGCGCCAGCCGCTCCCCCTAGTTATGCCAACGTAAGTACATACAGTGCAGCCTCTCTATAACGACCTTCGATATATAACGACATCCTCTGTATAGCGACATGGTGCCCAGGTCCCGATTTTTTCTTTATATCATTAGTAATATTTTTGGTTGCCTCTCTATAACGACATTTTTTTCTGGTCTTGGCGATGTCATTATAGAGAGGCTACACTGTAGTGCATGTTCTCCCAATATAGGGATAGTCCATAGACCTTTTTTTTTTTTTAATGGATTTTTTTCGTTCCAGATTGGGGGGGGGGGGGGTGGACATGATTGGGAAAGAGGAGGGGAGGGGATTTTATCACTTTGGACGAAGTCCTGCAGTTGTGGGCTTTTCTTTGCCTTGCGACTATGATCTACCCCTGAAGTCTTTCCAACTATCATCCCTGTTTGCCTCAGGTCCCGATTATTTTGTTTAGAGAAACATATACATGTAGAGGAACAGGGAATATATTTCTGATGTTTCAAAGCCCAAGACTGAATAATTGAGGAAAACTTGAACCAATTTAGCTGTTAAAAAGGTATGGGGATAGAGAGGGGAGAGGGAAGAAAGAAACAATTATGTGGAAAGGAAAGACGTCGCCATAATCAGACAGCCACTGGAACAATCAGTATGGATACCTTGCAGGCTTGAGGAACTGAGCACTTATGGACCTGTCGGGTGTGCAATGACGTTGTTGCCCAGGACAGGTAGCAGGTAATTTAGCTGTTGTCAGTCAACTCAAGGCCTCTTCCCCAAGTACAGTTCTTCCAGAGGTCGTCCCTGTTGATTTTATAGTGGAGGGGGCTTTTTCTGAAGTGGTTTGTACTCTGTACCCCCCTTCTCCGATTCCCCTAAAGTCGGGTGCCCACTACGGCTGGATCGGGCTGATCACCCGACTCGATCGCCTGAAACTGAAAACAAACACGTTTGTTTTTTAGGCGATCGAATCGGGCGATCCCATCCGTAGTGGGCATCCCGTTTAAACTGCTGTCCAATAAATCTTGCTTTTTTTTTTTCTCTAAATTTCGGGAGGGGGGGATTACTAAGGTGAAAATCCTGTAATTTGAATTCAAATAAATGAGTTCAATGGTTTTCACCTCCTGACTGGTAGTGGACGGTTGGCAGGCACTCTTGAGTAGTTTGTTCCTTCTTTCCTATTTAACATCTATCAACCTTAATCTCTCCTTCTTTAACGTGTGTTTATTACTCTCTTTTAACACCTCTAGTCTTCAGCATGTAATGCGTCGTATATAAATGTGACCTAATTGTGTTGCAAGTGCCTTGAAACAAAGATAAAAAAAGCTCCTGATACGTAGATCAGAGGTCACCTGTTTTGTTTGTTTTTTCTTGAGCTATTTGGGTACCAGTATTTGAGGAGGAAGTAAATTGTGCTCACACCTGAAAGTACCAGTAGTAATGGGAGCCAAAAGTGATGTAAAGATTTATTTTTTTAAATTCTTGTTCTAAGGCTCATCCATCAGCATCACTCTTTTCCTTTCTCTTGCTTCTCTACACTGAACAAGGCACACTTCTGATATGGAGACACATCATCCCGCTTTAATAGTTAACTGTAGTGTGGTGTGTGTAAGCTGTAAGGCACCTCCCGCGGCAGTGCCACTGACTGTAGTGTCTTTAGGCCATTCCCAAAGGGGGGGGGACATATCTCGTTCAAGCATAGTAGAATTGTAAATGGGCTGACTCATGCCACGCTTATAACTGTGCCTGATCTACAACAGGGAACTGCTGCTTTTTCTTTCCTGATCCTTACTATTGTCGTTTTCCTTTACTTCTTTTGTATGTTTGTCACTCCCTTGTGACCTGCTATTTTGGGGTGCCTTGATAGTCGAAGCAGACCTTGTGCTGTTGAAGATAGAAAGGTGAGCAGTCTAAGTCTGATTCCCTGTAAAGACTTCTCTGTTGACAACCACCCCTTGGCGCTCATATGACCTTATGCAGTTGCGAGCTCCGTAAAACCCTCTACATGTACTATAAATTTTAAAAAAAAAAAAAAAAAAGCTGTAAGGCACTAGAACTACTCCCTTGAATCTAGTCATGTGAGGGTGGATGTGGGATGTAAAGATTTGATTATTATTTCCCCCGCAATATGATGCTTGAGTTTGCCCACTTGTTGCAGTCCTTTTTGTTTTGTTTTTTTGTTGTGTGCAAAATGCTTGTTGCGTTGTCAGAAAACCTTCAGGCCTCTCCAGAAGAGACTTAGTCATTTTTACTCGATTATGCATTGGACACACATCCCTGACACATAAATACCTCCTTCAGGGAGATGAGAAGCTGTTCTGTGTCAGACTCGGATGCGACACAGATTTTTCCATTATACACATTTTAACAGAATATCTAGACTTCGGAGAGACCCAAAGGAAATATTTTAGATGCAAAAAATTGCAGAGATCTTTTTTCCATCGTTGGTCCCTACAGAATCCTTGATTTTGTAAAGGCCATTTACGGAGAAAGTTGTGTAAAGCATTAAAATTTTTAATGTTTTGTTTAAAAAGTTATTTTAAATTAAGAATTTATTTACATCAAATTTTTATCTTTTTATTTGAGCATTTTAATAGAAATATTGACCAAAATCAGGTGAACTGTTGCGTATAAACCAAATTGTTTCGCGCGCTCATGTAACCCTATGCAGTTGCGAGCGCCATAAAACTCTTACTAAAACAAACAAAGAAATGTAAGGATAAATGTTCCTTACACAGAATAATTTCGAGTCAGAGTTGATAGTAATTGTATCATTTTGTTTCTTTTTGTATGAGTTTAATTTAAATCAGCCTGAATGTACTTTTGCCTTTAGTCTATTCTGACCTTTCTGAAGGTTGGTTTGACAATGTTGCTGCAAGCCAAATTTTTATGCTTTTAATTTAAAAATGCTTTCTAGAATAGTACAGTGAGTGGAAACCATATATAACAGGCCCGGTAATAACAGGGATCCGGTAATAACAGGGATTTTTTTTTATACCCATTTTTTCCTGCTCTTTGTCTCTATTAAAAGTTATCGACAATAATGGGGCCTCATTCTTATTTAGTATAGAGGCGTTTCTTTTCATACATTGGTAAAACCTGGTGGTAAGGGGGGGCCGGCTGCAGTCAAACTTGACTCCTGGATTTCATTGAGGGTTAATATTATAACAGATGACCTTGGTCGACTTGGTGACAGTTTAATTTAAACTTAAAGTAAGAACTAAAAAAGAGTTGACCTATTTCTTCCAGTTACACAATTAGAACATAATAATGTCACCTGTACTTTTGTTTGCAACATATTTATGCTTTATTTCTTGTCCTTTATTTTTTCCAGAAACCTCCACCTTATTCATATTCTGGCTAAACCGAGGACGTGAAACAAGAATTATCGTTATTCCCCTGCAAAATGGGAGGGTGCCTGTGATGTACATATATGTATTACACGTATTGTGATTTATTCAAATCAAAGATGTTTCTCTCCTCTTGAAGCCGCTTTTTGTAAAAACAAGAATTTTTTATGAGTATGCTTTGTACTTGTACTGGAAAGAACTACGGTATCTAATTCTTGACTTCCTGAATAAAAGCTATCCCACTAATTGTTTCTTGAAATTCTGACATAAATCACTTAAGTCTCGGCTACGCTGTGCGTGAATCAATAAATTACAAAACTTCAATTTTCTCTGTTGGTCCTGGTGAACTATCGTCGTCTACAAATCAAACACTGTGTGCTAGTGGTTTAATTAATGTCTTGCATCCTGAGGGCCTAGGATGGTCTTCTCATGGGGAAAATATGGTTCTGTGTGTATACACTCTATTGTTTCGCCGCTATACCTTGCATCAGAAGCTATTTCAACTTTTTTACCTTCTGAGTGATGTAATCTTGTGTTGGGAGGGCAGGCAAGAGGAAGGAGTAGGGTACAATGATTGTCGATGTCTTCTTACAGACCTGATACCTGAAGAAGAATTCATGTGAAAAAGTCAAATTTCGAGTACATAGCAATAGAGTGGCAGTAGGCCCGCAGGATGATATTGATATAATGCCAGTACTGTAGCTTCAGTAGTGGATAGGCCCGCAGGATGATATTGATATAATGCCAGTACTGTAGCTTCAGTAGTGGATAGGCCCGCAGGATGATATTGATATAATGCCAGTACTGTAGCTTCAGTAGTGGATAGGCCCGCAGGATGATATTGATATAATGCCAGTACTGTAGCTTCAGTAGTGGATAGGCCCGCAGGATGATATTGATATAATGCCAGTACTGTAGCTTCAGTAGTGGAGTGTCAAGAGTTATTGCGTTTGCCCAAGACTTTCCATTTCTATTATATTCTGAATTTACAATGAGACCCAGCTTTGATATTTCACTTTCTAAACTTTCTTTGTGTTAATCTCTTGATGCCGTCAAATTTTCATGTTTTTATATTTGCACCTTCGTTTTTGTTGGTTTGGTTTTTTAAAATTAATATTTAAATCCCAAACTCTTTAACAGTTTCATATTTTTGCAGCTATAGAGCTATCATGGGGGGGGGGGGGTTGTTCAAGGTGATTTTTACAAATCATACACAACATAAATCAGTTCCCCATACTTTTGTACAAAAGAAAACTCTTACTCTTACACAAGATATAGGCAGAAATTAATGCATGCTGTGGCTTTGTCAAAATGTATAAAAAGTATACATTTATTTTTTTAAAGTACGCTCTTGTACTTGTTTTACAGGTGTGTTCGGTTTTTTTATGAGATCAGATTCATTCCAATATATCTAGGTATTAAGATCAATATCATTATTAATTGTTCTTTTTGTTAATGTTGTATTGTTTGCGAAGCTGCATTAGTCATTATGTTGAATTACTTTGTCTGTCTTGTGACTTAGTACAAGTACAGCTGATTTCAGTAACTTTGACTTTTGATTCAAATCTGTCATGGCCAGGCCATCTGGTTCAAGTTCAAGTTCAATCTGTGTACATGGGGCTTCAAAACTGCCAAAGGGAGAGTAATAATAGTTTCGGGGGGGGGGTTTTCTCGCCTTCCATATGATCACAGAATCATAGTAGTACTAGTACCGTATATTATATAGATGTCATTAGTCATCTTCTTCGACTTCTTGTAGTATGTGCACTAATGTTTTTGGTTTCAGACCATTTTTTTACTTTAATTAAACAGTAAAAAATGTTTTTCCCCAGTGAATGGGTAATGCCATCAGTTTGTTTTTTTCTTCTCATTTTCTAAGCATTGTCTGACCATTAGATTGAGTATGCTGCTATGTCCACTAAGTGCAATGCCTCTGTACATATGTGTGTGCGCCTAGAGAAAAGTAGGCCTACCAAAAGTCACCCCACACCCGTTTCAAGCTACAGGCTGATGATAATGACAAAAATCACTTTTTTGACCAAAATGTGTTTCCATTTTAAAAATGATCGACCCACCATTTTTTTTACACTGTGCATAAAGCCAATAAAGGGTTTTTATTGATTTGACTTCTTAATATTTTATTTTGAATTATTTTGAGGGTAGGGTATAAAAAGTAAATAATGGAAACTACTTTTAAAAGGTGTTAAAATCTATTCTTGAAGCACGTTTTCTCTTCCCTGCTAAGTTTTACCAGTAAATTCCATTCATGATATATTGGTGTCAACAGAAAGCCAAATTGGACTTGAATTTTCCCATGAATAAATTATATATATATTAAAAAATAGTTTTTTAAAGTTTGTATGTGTTCTCGCGTTTTTTAAACTTATAAGCTCATTTTCTCAAAATTCTATCTTTATACCCTACCTCGCAAAATGTGCAATATCTCAAATACTAGTAACTACTGGAGATCTAAGAAATTCAAAGAACCCTGTGTTCAGCATTGAATTTCCAATAAGGCACAACCCTTAACTCAAAATGGTCAAAATCCGACTTTTGGTACGGTACTTTTCTTTAGGCACACGCACATATTTTCGATTTTCAGTTAAACCGGGACCCTGGTCCATTATTATTACATTGTACCCAAGTGTGCACTCTGGATGTAGTGTAAAAAACCAATGAACTTGCAGCGTGCTCTTTTATTAACTTACTTAGAGGTTAATTTGGGTGTTTTTTTAAACTATTCAATGTATCACACCGCTGCTGCTTTAAAAATTGAAAATTGGCTTCAACTTTTGACAAATTTGTCTAAATCGTTAATTATAGATATTATTTTCAATTTCGTATTTATTAAAAATGTGGAAGAATTTATCGTGAGTCAAACCTCTTAGATTAGTCATGAAAATGTGTTTTTCCTTTCATTTTGGCTGACATATTTTTATTGTTTACTATTGTTTTTAACACAACTTCACGTTTCTACAAATTTGCCCCATGGTTTTCAATGACAGAATACTTTTAATTAAACCAAGAATGGAAGAAAATAAACATTAAAATTACTGACACTGAGTTAACTGAGGTATGCTTTTGTTGTTTTGTATTTTTCTTTATTTTAAAGTCTTGGTTTTTGCTTGTCAGTTGTCAAGATTTACAGTGGGCTGTTTAGCACAAAAACAGTTTAACAGGAAATCCCTTTCCAGCACTGTTAACACGACTGAGATGAGAGGCCCCACACATGTAGCCTACATTCTAAACTGGCGGTTTCGGAATTGAAAGGCTAACCTAACGGCAGGTGGATGCAAAAATGATGGAAAAAATGTTAAACTGGAAGGCTGAACCAGCGGTTTCAACACAGATTTTTCTGACTACACTTCAGCGTGTTCCGTCGATTACAGCCTTTGTGTGACGTCACAAGCCAAGCTGACTTGTCTTGTCACTGCCAATATCTTCATAATATAATGATTTACCCCAAGTAAAATCTGATTACATTTTTTTAAACGAGCGACCCAATTTTAAGGCAATATCCAAGCAGAATATGTGTGGGGGGGGGGTCAATAATTAAAGAGAAAAAAATTCCGCTTTTAAATTAAATATAATATACACTCACTGAAGGCAAAGCAGTTCAGTACACATGTACAGGGTTGACCTCTGAGTCACAATGTGCAGTAGATCTAAAGAAAACACCTGATTGTTTGCACAAGCTACACTGCCAAACATACAGCTGCTAGTTTTAGTAAGGGTTTTACGGCTCTTGCAACACAATAAGGTCATATAAGTGCCAAAACATACTGCAAAATGGCACCCTGGTCGAAAGAAAATTCTTCAATTTGTTGAAATTAACAGACCCCATGACAGCCTTTGGAAAGTATAATCCAAAGACTACTACATGTATTTAGATTAGATCGCCCGGAGAAGGAAAGGGTCTTATTTTAGAACTTGGTCGGTTTTCTAAGAAGCTGTGAACCTTACGCAAACAATTTAAAAGGACTCTGTGATTAAAAATTAATTAATGTAAAAAAAAAGTAACCTGCGTGGGTCATTCCAGAGAAGGAATTTTAAAAAACCTTGAGGGAAGCCATTGTCCGATGCTGGGTCTGATGAAGTAATAGTAGATTTATATTCAGCCCAAGCTGTTGAACTTTTCACGTCTATTATTTCCCTCTCTATCCATCTATCGACCTAACACACAGAAATTGAAACAGGAGACGCATTCACAAAAGCTAAAAAAATCGTTCTTCCTCAACATACACATGCTCGCAAGTCCTCCTCCCCTTTCCAAGCCATTTGCGCAAGCACACACACACACACACTCACACTCCAAGACACATTCGTAGAAATTCTCAGGATAACTTACAAGGCCATAATTCCCGCAAAATACTGGTAGATCTACAGCTCAAGTGATCTCTTTCATGAAGTCTGAAGCCAGTCTATTATTATTATCTTTTTGGGGTGGGTTTTTTTTTTGGTACGAGTAGCACTAAATAAATTGCAAGCAAATCGTCATTGTGATTGTCAGTACTCGCTGCGGTTAAACCCCACGTGATGTGGATGACGCGCAACCGTTCGAATGGCCGTTCAACAAACGGCCTGGTCAGAACGTACATGACAGTGACAGTGTAGGGCCCCTAAAAGAGACAAATTCACCCCCCCCCCCTCCCGTTTTATCCCCCCTCCCCTTTTATTCTTCTTCTTCTAAGCATTGCAACTTCCCTTTCCTTTGGGGCTGTTCAAATATAATCTTGGGTGACCTTATTTAGGCCACATATGGCCTAAATAAGCTAAACCCCCCTCCCTTACCTTATTTAGGCCACAGGTGGCCTAAATAAGCTAAACCCCCCTCCCTTACCTTATTTAGGCCACACCTTTATACAAAGTCACAGAAAAATTCCTTTTGTGCTTATTGAGGTACAGTGCAGGGTGATTTTACCTGCAAGGATAATTGGACAAAATGGGCAAAATCTTTATTGCTAAATGTCATATGTAGACAAATCCTATATCATTGTCTTTTTTTTTTCTTAACTGCTCATGGTTATTAAAGAGTAAGCCAACTAGGTAGTAATTTCGGATTCCTAATACTAATATTATTATGGGCATTCTTAAAATTTTTTAACTTGCTTTTAGCGCTTTTCTCAATGTAAAACGGATTCCGTGAAAAAACAATGACCTTATCTTTCTTTTTCAAAGTATTGTGCATATGATTGTGTGAAACTATATATTTTATGCTTTCATGTACATGAAAAAAGCTAATAAAGGCAAGCAAAATGTTCTTCAGAGACATAGATCTAGTAGTAGGCCCACTGAATGTTTTTTACAAACCGGGAAAGATGACCAGAAAATAACAAAATTATTTTATGATCTTCACTTGCACTTGCAATTTTTTTGATAAATTATAGTCTACCTCATTGTCTTTTTTTTTCATCATTTTTCTTCACTATTCATGACAACTGGCATGTATTGTTTTCAGTTATTATCAAGAAAGTGGATAGGCGGACTACAGGGTCTATCTAGCCAAAAGGATAGGTGGACCCCCGGGTCTACCTAACAAAATGCTAGGATTTAGGATGTGAACCCTAGAGTCAGCGTAGTCAAATAAGTAGATCTAGGTTTAACTAAGGATCGGTGGACCCCGGGGTCAACATAGTGAAATAAGTAGATCTCAGTTTATTTTATAGTAGGACTGGCGGAGCGCGTGGTCAACGTAGTGAAATTATAAGTAGATATAGGTTTAATTAAGGATTGGTGGACCCCGGGGTCAACGTAGTGAAATCAGTAGATCTAGGTTTAATTAAGGATTGGTGGACCCTGGGGTCAATGTAGTGAAATAAGTACATGTAGATCTAGGTTTAATTTTAAGGATTGGGGGACCCTGGAGTCAACGTAGTGAAATAGGTAGGTTTAAGGTGGACCCCAGGGTCTACCTAACGAAATGCTAGTTAGGTTTTTAGAATAGGTGGAACCTGCGGTCACCGTAGTAAAATAAGTAGGTTTAATCTAGGTGCCCCGGGGGTCCACCAATCCTTAATTAAACCTTCTTATTCCTCTACGGCTATGGTGACTCCGGGGTCCACCAATCCTTTTTAAATTAACCCTACTTATTTCACTACGCTGACCCCGGGGTCCACCAATCTTTAAAGAAACATACTTATTTCACTACGGTGACCCCGGGGTCCACCTGTCCTAAAACCTAGTATTTCGCTAGGTAGACCCCGGGGTCCACCTTAAACCTGCTTATTTATCACTACGTTGACCCCGAGGTCCACCAATCCTTACTTAAACCAAACCTTATTTCACTACGGTGACTCTGGGGTTCACATCCTAAAACCTAGTATTTCGCTTTGCAGACCCCGGAGTCCACCTATCCTCTTCAGGACTAAACTATTATCAATTTGCAATTCTCATTGATTAGCATTTTTTTTTTTTAAATATTGAATCAGAGACTCGCTGTCTAAAAAGTCCACTGCTAATGCTATTCTTTTCAAAGAAAATGGCACAATTTGATTTTATGACATGTTGAAAAAAAAGAGTTTTAAAAATATCCCGAAAACAACATAAAATGATTATGTAGATCTCTCTCTCTCTCTCTCTCTATATATATATATATATGTGTGTGTGTGTGTGTGTGTGTGTGTGTGTGTGTGTGTGTGTGTGTGTGTGTGTGTTTGTGTATGTATTTTATTATGTATACTAAAAGACTGAGCAGAGGCTTACAATGTAAATTCTGTGCTCTACAAGTAGAGAAAATCTTAAGTTTGCGCAAAACAGATTTTAGAAAAAAAGTTGGATCTAATTATTCTAATAAAAGTAAAAGTGATTGTTATGCTGAGATTTGTTATTATTAACTCTGGAAATACAGTTACTTGCTGAATCTAAAAGTAACTAGAACTGTGCAATTCGTTTTATTTCAATTCCAAAGCCCAAAGGCATAGCAATAATAAGTTAGATCTAGATCTAGCAGTTGTAGGCTCTCTGGCTGCTTCTAGCAGAGGCCTGCTACTACTGATTCTAGACAGGGAATCTAGATCTTGCTATCGCCTGCGCTATTTAAGTCAAATATATGGTAAAATAAAAACAAAACTGAATTTTTTGTCAGTCAGTACATCCCAATTGCCATAGCCGCACGTATTAATAGTTGAATAATGCGATACCGAAGCAACACGTTATCACAGTGTGCAGGGGAGAGCGAGGTGCTCGGTCGATTCGGTGGTTCGGCTTTTGTAGATCTATGCATTTTTTACGGAAAGCCCTATTACCTAACCCTATTACTAGATCTATTAGTGTTGTGAAAACTTCAACCTCTACAGCTCAGGCATCAAAAGATGCTGGAAAATAATATTACGTCCTGAAGTTTCATAATTTATTTTTATACAGAATAACACAGTACACAGCCAGTAGTTTTTATTTCATCGAGTTATAAAAATGGCCTTCGTATAAAAATTGCCACGTTTTCAGAAGCAAATTTTAATAGTTCTAGTTCTACCGAATCGATTTTCACGCGAATTCAACCATTTTGATGATCTTTCTTTTCCTTTTAAAAAGATGTAGGCCTGTCGGATGTGGCAGTGCGAATAACACTGAGCTGTTTAGACCCATCAAAACACGAGGCTTCGTGGCCGATCACAAAAGTCTACAGGGCTTATCGAGGCCGATTCGCCCTGCTGCGAGCACGTTCACTAAACTGCCTACTAGATAGAATCTACTACCAAATATTCTCTACACGATCTTTGCTACTACTACTACTACTAGGCCTACTAGCCTACATGTACTACTACGAGACAGTACGAGAGAGTGTCACTCAGGCAAAGATAGTGTAACTTTGACTCAGCTACGTAGTGTACACACTTTTTATACCCCAAATTTAACCCAGAAGTCCATTCGGAGGATTTGACCTTTTCACTTGACCAAAGTGTGCCAAAATGGTAGCCTAGCTTTTGCCCCTCCATGAAGGAAAAATCTGGCCCTCATTCAAACCAATGGGATTGAGCAAAATTTTGCGTGTTGTGCTTTGTTCTTTACAATATTCATTATGGTTATGATTTATAAGTTGTACACTGAGACAAAACTGTACTAAATGAGAAAG